CGGCCTCCTCGGGATAAGACTTGACACATCTACCAGGGGTTGACGTTAAGGATTTTTACTTTCACATTGCATTTGCCCAGTAACAATAATGCTTGATAAATATAGTTCCTAATATTTATTTTTGTATAGATATCAATGAAACATCTTTGTTTTTTAAATGTTTTTTGTAATTCAGCATTTTTTAAGTTTCCAGGTTCCTGGTGTGTATATGCATGCGTCAGATAATGAACTCAAGCCTACATTACTGTGTTAACATGCCTTTCATTCCTTCCTGCACATTCTTTTCAAACTAAACTTTGCATTAAACTGTTGTGTGCTTGGAAAAATATAAATTGTAATGTTAAAAATCTAAAAAAAAACTTGACAGGTTAAAAACTTAAGATAAATCACAAGACAGAAGTCAATGTCACAAATGAATAACTTTTATTTTAGAGTCACAGTATGTTTATACAAGACAATACTATTAATATAATGTGACTTTTCTAGAGAATCATTATACATAGTTATTTTACACAGGGTTTCCACAGTCTTACATAATTTCAGAATTCCCTGACTTTTAAATGACCCAGGATTAGTATTCCCTGACAAAATAAATGCAACAACAAGACAATAATAATAACATAACAGTTTACCAATTTAACATGTTTAGCTCTATAACATTTAAATGCACCTCTCCAATGTCTAAGAGAAAAAAATGTAATAAACATTTTTTAATGTATGACCTGCATCACTGTACAGAAGACTGCCATATGATAGCCATATTTACACTGTGGGCATGGCATACAATTCTGCCAATTTCCTTAATCCCTGAAAAATAATTTTTAATCTAGGGTTATCTGGGTAGTGGGTAAAATGGGTGGAGGGTAAAATAGGTGGTGGGTGTGTTACTGTACTTACATTTTTTTGCCTTGTTGTTGTTTTTTAGCCTGCCAAGTCGAAAAAAATGTGTCTGATTCGCTCCAATTCCTGGACAAAAATCACGCCATCTGGTGGAAAATCACGGCATGTTTTGTGTACAAAACAACAAAAATGGCGCGGGCAATGCTTCTGGGTCGTTTTCATCGAAATTCTGTGATTTTAAAGTAATTTTAAGTGATTTTTTTTTTTTGTTGCGATTATTGTACTTGCCCAATGGGCAAATGCAATGAAATTTGTAAATCTTTCAAAAACCTACAAGGCAGCGATACAGTTGATTCCTTCCTGCTATCATTGCAGCCCCCATCCCCCTACAGGGGAACAGAACAGCAATTTCCTCTAACGACCCCCTTTCAGAGTCATAGACAGGTATGGGGCATTGCAGGCTAACAAAGAACCCTAACGACAGCCCATTCCTAAGGGATGGATCCGTTCGTCCGGTTCAATTCGCAGGTTTTCTAAGCCAAGACGAGGCTTTGTTTATGGTCCACTCTATAAAGCCTCAAACTCACCACTATTTCTGAAATTTTGAATTGAAAAGCTTCCTGGATGGGAAGCGAAACGTCTTCAAACTTGGAAAAAAAGTCCAGTGGATAGCTTTTTAACTATTTTGGAATAGAATTATATAAAGACTAGTTGCCTCATGGGTCGCTATTGCCTATTGGCATTGTCAAAAACGTCTGTCTGTACAAACTGGTCAATTTGGTAGGAGGCTTCCAATTTGACCTGAGGGTCTCTAATTTGTATTCTGCACAGATGCTTCGGTACAGATGCTTCTGTACACTAAACCAGCAACTTGGTTATGACGTTCCATGTGTTCCTTTCCTGCCAGTATCTTACTCCCTGCCGTGAGATGTTGGATTGTTTCTGAGGTCCCTTTGCGTAGCCTGCTCCTGGGATCTTGCCTGGTCTGATAGCTCTGGTTATCATTGGTCTGTTCCAAAACAGCAGAGGGGACAGAGCATCTCTTTGGTGTATTCCATCTTTGATGGAGATTTTTGTAATTGCCTTGAAGTTGGTCTCAAGTTTGGTTTTCCACAGCTTTGTGGGGTTTTGCAAAAGGCTCTTAGGCTACGTTCACACTGCAGCCTGAAGTGACCCAAATCCCATTTTTTTGCCCATATGTGACCTGGATCTGATTTTTTCATGACAGTTTGAACAACACAGATCCACTATTTTCCAATGAGACCCATGTGGTCCTGAATCCGATATGAATCTGATCTTTTCAAAAGCGACCTGTGTATGAACGGCCAGGTTCATCTATCATGAACGCCATTAATACCTGACTTTGGTCACTCTGCTGCTTCATGCTACGCAGAAGAAACAACAACAATAATGGAGAAAAATGCGGAGAGTAGTATTTATGTTTAACCATATTGCAAAGATTTAATTTTTAAGGTTGGGAAAGATCCCTAGATGTTCTCCAGCACATCTAGTGTTTACTTCCGTAAACATAGAGCACACTTGCTTGTGACGTCATTGCGTCCTCTAATGCGCTTCCTGGACACTTAGGTTGATCACATAAAAGTCGCATATATTTGGAAATGAGAACATCATTGCAAAAAAATCGAATTTAAAAAAAAATTGAAATTCTCCTTGTGAGATCTATGATGTTCAATTATTGTTCAATTATTAAAGTACTTATTTTTGGCCTCAATATGATCCTTTTTACTGTCTTAAAACTGACTGACTTAAAACTGTGCTGTGTTCATCTTCTAACATCGGAGCTGGCTCAGAGCCGTCTGCCTGGCTGTGTGTTTCCTGGACGGGGCCGCCTTTTATAGTTCCTTTCGTATTTCTACTTCTGTCTCCTTGAACCCCAGTCGGCCTCAGCAGATGGCCGCTCACACTGAGCCTGGTTCTGCTGGAGGCTTCTTCCTGTTAAAAGGAAGTTGTTTCTCTCCACTGTCGCTACAATCATGCTTAGTGTGAGGGATTGCCTTTGAGCCAATGAGATGATGCAATCAACTGGTTTTCCTTAGATAGAAAACTTTGAATCAATTTGACTGGATGATCTGGTGAACTGTAAAGTGCCTTGAGATGACATGTGTTGTGAATTGGCGCTATATAAATAAACTGAATTGAATTAAAAACATTTGGTGATTAAGCCTAGCCCACATTTCTTTAACTCCTTCTTTAAAAATTGTCCTTAATACATTGAGATCACACATTTTCTCCTTTACTTTCATCCTTGGTTCAGCACAGAACTGACTAAATGTTATTTCACAAAGGCCCGCTAAGTAGCCAATCATGATTTCACTGGTTCTCATATAGACTTCACCCTTTTAGCCTGTCGCTAGTGGGCTAAAAACTGAGAAGTATGTAGTCTATGTGTCTGTCCAGACCGCAAACAAAGCATCTACTCACAAAGAAGAACTTTAGAAGAAGAACTTCAGTATCTCTAGATATGCGCTGCAAGCTTCCCTGCATAATCAGGTGACACAGAAGAGAAATAATCTCTGGTCAGATCAGATGCTTAGATTACAAATCTGGGGGTTTGAATAACGATGATAAAGGTTACAAACTGTAACAGTAGAAGAGCAATAGTAGAAAAACAAATTGAAAAAAATCAGCTGCAGGATCATGCATAACAAAGCAGCACAACAAGCCCTGGGTGCCTAACGAGCTGCAGCAGATAGAGATAAACTCTGACCACTCGAGGCTGGATGAAACCCAGCTCTAGTCAATGACCTACAAGTCCCTCTGTGGTGTTTTAGGCTCCTAGTCATTTGAGGCAAAAGATCCTTCTGCCATTTTAAAGATGCTCACCCCTAAAGAGAAAGTCCTTTCCCTTTGTCCTCTGGCTGCTTCTTTCCCACATAGCCATCATATCTACCATGTGGGCATTGTTAAACACTGCGGCTGTTTGTAGGATACGCATAATATTAGACAAGTTGGCTAATTAGTCCACGTAGTTTTGCTCCTTAAGTAGATCAGACCGCATTTATCAAATAAATATATATTTATTTTTTCTTCTTGAATTTGACTTTGTCCTGAAATGTAAAGTGTTTCAGACAAAATGTCATGAACGGGGACAGATGGACCCAGTATTCAAGGCGAGACAGTCAGGCTCAGTGGAAGAGGGTAGCCGAGACAGGATCTAGAACCGGAACTTGAAGCAGGACTTTAAACTGGTCTCCTCCCTGGAGCCAGGCTTACTGGATAAAAACTGAACCTCCCCACATATTGACCCAAAGACCCAGAGGACTCTGCGGGGTGGGGGGGGGGGTGGGGGGGGTACAGTGGACGATCAGGAGACGAGACAAACACAAAAAACCCTCTTTCCATAATTCTATATCTACAATTATTTATAGATTTTATATATATATATATATATATGTATATATATATATATATATATATATATATATATATATATACATATATATATATATATATATATGTATATATATACATATATATATATATACATATATATATATATATATATATATATATATACATATATACACACACACACATATATATATATAGTAAACAATGCACCTTATGGTTTTCTTCTTATTTAGAGTAGCATGGTTTCTTTTTCCAGTATTAGGTGCTAAGTTTAATTAGTTGTTGAAATTAAATATATATGCATTTATTTCCCTGAAGATACTTCATGTATTATCTTTGCTTTTGGGTAAACCCTGATATAATTATTAAATTAAAATTAAGAAAAACTCTTAGATATAAACATTTCTCAAGGGAAATTTGACAAAGGTTAAAATTGCTTTATTTTTTTTAACTCATTTGATATTAAATATTAATGCATGTATTCCAAGTAAAACAAAAATGTAATTCAACATAGGTATAATTATATTCTGAAGTCTTTTTAAAAAGGGCTAATGGATTAAATCAGTTTGTTAGCTGAGTTTTTACTCCATGTTTGTCATCGATATTATTTTAGCTTTAAACAAGAATTAAGTTTAGTCAAGATTATCGGTCAGTTGGTTTATTTGCATGAAGAGTAAATTTTCTGTATCTGATATAACATCATTGATAATAACCGAGGTGTGGCTTGAAATCTCGATTATTTCGGTTTTTTGGAGCTAAAGTCAATTTTCCCGCCTCAGAATCTCCTGGGTGTGCCTCTTTAGCCAGAAGCTGCTATGGGTTACCTCAAGCTAATTGAAATAGAAAACTTTAAGTCATGGCGTGGGAAACAAATTATTGGACCTTTTATGCGATTCAATTGTATTATAGGACCAAATGGTTCTGGTAAGTGAACATTTTAAATACTTTACTAACCTTTTTTTTAGCTAACCTCCAGATAAACTGGGTCAACTAGCAAACGGCTAGCTTGTTTAAATAATTGTTTCTCTTTTTATATTGTCGGTTTATTAGCAGGAAAATGTACCTTGTATACAGATAAAATAAAGCGAAATTAATTCCTAAAATATAACATAAGCTCGAAATAAACACATTTTCTTTGACATATTTAGCCTCACTATCCTATTTATAAATTTTCTGCTTTAGCTTGGTAGCATTTTATTACTAATAGCTGCTATGTGGTATGATAACGGTCAATAAAAACGTGAATACGTTTATATTTGTATTTTTAAATGATATGTAAATAAATCTGTAAATATTTTTGATTAGATTTGTGTTTATTCCTTGTTTTTAACTCCTAGATAAATCTGATATCAGATCTTCATCTACTTCATACTAGTTCATGAATAGAAGTAGGGCTGCAACTAATGGTTATTTTACAAATCGATTAATCTGTTGATTATGTTTTTAAATAAAAGATTAATAATTGGCTAGTTAAAATAGAATATTCCTTAAAGAATATTTTTTTATGAAATTAAACCAGGTAAAAACTAAAACTTTCCACTTGAGGAGTTCTGGATAGAGCATATTTGACAAAAGGAAAGCTTTATTTGAACTAAATGCAAAATGTTTATATAGTTTTTTACAATCTTGATATGAGTGCTCTACATTGGTTGCTTTATCAGCTAAAGGCATGCTTTGCTGTCTCTATACTCCAGTTAACGATTTATTGATAACTAAAATAGTTGAAAATTATTTCAATAATCGATCAGTCTGCTTAATTGTTACAGCCCTAAATAGAAGACAGCTACAAATCTGTAATAAATCAAGAACAAATCTCAAGAATGCATGAATATGAATCACAAATTCATACTGGCAGATTTGTTATTTGTACCTGTAAATTTATGATTCATACTCGTTAATTTATATACTCATAAGTTTTTGATTTGTACTCTTTAACTTGGGATTTGTACTTGTAAGTTTCTGATTCTTAGACATGAAATTGTTACTCATACTCCTAAATTAGGCATTTATACTTGTGAATAGTGATTTGTACCGATAATTGTTTATTTGTACTGTAAATATCTGATTCTTATGAATAAGTATGTCACTCATACACTTAAGATTGTGCGTTTTACTAGTTAAGTTGTATACACACATACATTTTTTATTTCTACTCCTAACTTTTTTATTTCTTCCAAAATACTAAATATCTAGCTTGCTCTAATAAGTTTTAAATAAGCATTACTCTGGATGAAGAGCTGTTGTCGCATGTATCCATGTAAGTCAACTTTAGCACTTTTCAATGACAGGGGTCACAAAGTGCTTCACATATGACAAAACAAGTAAAACAGTATTAGTGAGTCAATCTGTGAGTTTAGAAGAAGGAAAAAACACATATCCTAATTTTAATTACATTATTAACTTAGATTTCCAAATGTTGACACCTATGAATCTTTTTTTACTGCCTGTTTTCCTACCCCTTACCTGTTATGTTTAAATTGTTTTAAGGTAAGTCCAACATCATGGATGCGCTGAGTTTCGCCACAGGCGAGCGGGTCGCCTCTCTTCGGGTGAAGCACCTGAGTGACCTTATCCACGGAGCCCACATCGGTAAACCTGTGTCCGACACCGCCCTGGTGGCCCTCCACATCTGCGATGATGAGGACCATGAGAGAATCTTTTCCCGTACAATAGCAGGTTAGTGTAGGAATGAAAGCGGACATTTCTGCTTAAAAGCTTAAAATCCAGGCTCTGTACAGGAATAATTAGACTGAACAACACCTTTAAAATGTACTAAGATAAGATAGACTTTATGGATTTCACTTGTCATATCGGCTCAATAGTCAAAAGAAGGACTCAAAAGGATGAAAAAGTGCATATATACATTTTTAACAGGATTATTGTAAAGGGTTTACCACAGGGTAATAAATAATAATTGCAGAATAGTTATTGCACAAGTTATCTCAGTTATAGTGCTGCATTGTTAAGTCTGATCATGTAACTATACAGAATGGTGAAGCTCATTCCTTAAGACAGCATTATAGATATAACTATAAGAACCCATTGGAGGTAGGGTGCTGTTTGAAAAATGGTTTTAATGCTGAATTGATTCTGCCACCATTAACTACCTTTACTTAATTATTCTACTGTACAAAGTTAATATAAGCTGGTATGAACATGTTAGATAATTACAGTCATGTAATTTAGGTAACAGCTAAAAAAAAAAAAATATAAGATAGGACAGGCAGTCTAATTGGAGATCTTAAAAACTCATTGTGTGTCTTAGAAAGTCATGATCTTTTGAAAATATTTGGGGATCTTAATCATGAAGTAGTCATTTGTGGAGATGATGAAACATTTTTGCAGATATATATTTGGTTGATGGAGAATATTTGGTATTTTAATAATGTCTTTTATTTAATTTAAATGTTTGGTTTAGTACCACTTAAATGACAATTAAGCATTTTTGCTTCAAATAGATCCACAATGAAGGACCTGATTGGACACTTTATACTGTATTGGTCTTCTGAAAGGTTTGTGATAGTTTTCTAGTGTGATGTTGATTTTAAATAAAGTTTCACATTCTGGCATTGACATAGTGGTAGAAACTGAGCTTTACACCAAACAAAAAATGAGTTGTCTATCAGATAAGATAGACAACACATTAATAAAGAGAAGAAAAGTTGTTAAATGTTTTGGAAATTATATTTTAAGCACATTTTGTAAATGGAAATTTGAAACAAAAATGCTATACGCAAATGAAACTTTAAAAAAAACATGAAACTTTCCTTTTTTTCTCAGATTCGTTTGTTTATAAGAAATGTTTTTGCCTTTATTTTTCTTATTCTATATATGTTTTTCTAAACTTGCTTTTATAGATTTTAAATTTTATTACTTTATATTGTCAAAACAATTTGTTTCTAATTTATGTACATATTTCCATTTTTCATATTGAGTTTTAGGAATTACATTATTTTCAAATAGGGTTTTATACATCAGAGTGAAGAGCATAGAGACATTTCTATTGGTCTGCTGAACGTTAGCAACAACATCTTCTTGGTCAATGTGTGCTTCAAGAGCGAGCGTTTGGATTGGGTTTATTGGGATGAATGATTTTGTCAAAAATCAAAATTGCGATTATTTTCAACCAATATTGCGATTTTTTAAAAAGGTTTTTCTTTTTCACTAAAAAGAAAATTGCCAATGTTTTACTCCAGGGTTTCAGTTTTTTCCCTGACTTTGAAAGCCTGCTTTTCCAGAATCCAGTGCTGCAGGACTTTGCTGTAACATTTGCATCAGAAAGTTCCTACCTGTAATATAATGCATTAGGCCTGGGCGATAATTCAATAACGATATATATCGATCGATAGACGTGTGGCGCAATAGAAAAAAAGAGGGTCGATAAAAGTTCGATAAAAAAGAAACGCAGTTTTCCTTCCTTCTCATTGTAGCCTAGTATGTAGGTTTATGCTAGTCACTGCTTCCTCCCAACCAATCACAATCGCGGACCCAGGCACGACGTCACCAAGCGCCGCCCTCTCAAACCACAACACAGAGCACATGAAGCTGTGCATCAAAGAGAGGCGGAGGAAATTGTTTCAAAGAAAGGTTTTTGTAGTTTGGCAGTCTGGCAGTATTTCGGTCATGGCAAGTCGGACCAAAAACAAACCACAGTCATCTAGAAAATGTGTCGGGAAACAGTGAAAACCAGTCTGATAACGAAACCAACTTTTTTTTTTATCATCTCAGCCACTCACAGCCGCAGGAGTACGAGCTGTGTAGGCCCCGGCGCGGCTCTCCTCCGAGGAATCTTCGGAAAATATATATATATATTTTCAGTTCTGGGCAGTTTCCCACGTAGTTCTAACAATTGAGAGAAAAATGCTGAGGGGCCAGAAACTTCAAAGTAATAACTCAGGTTAAAGCAGGAAACGGGGGCGGCGGTGGGGGGGCATTTATTTATTTGTTATATTAATTTTGGTCACTTTTCTGGTCACTTAAGTTTATTCTTTGTCAGTATTTAATAACATAACTCAGGTCTCTTAAGTTATTTTTCTTTAAAACAATTCTGTTATGGTTAAAAAAGTTGGTTAAATAAAGATTTAATTCGAAGTCTGTGTTTGTGTTTTTTTATTAAAATTCAATCATTTAGCAATATTATAGAAAGTCCAGGCAGAGCTGCACATAAAATATGGTTTCAAATCTTTTCAATAATTATCGATATATATCGATCAATATGCATTTTTTTTTATCGATAAGCTTTTTTTCTATATCGCCCAGCCCTATAATGCATAGATCGAGGTGCTAGCTGCAACTCTCCACCCAACGCTCCTTCTTCTTACCCACTTTAATCCTATTACAGTCACCTAAGGGAGGAATTTGGTGTCTTACTCTTGTTAAATGTATTGTGACTAAAATTGAGCGCCTCTGTAATTTGAAAATTGCATTTTTCCAAATTGCATTTATTTATTTTTTTTATTCAAATTCTTATTTATTTTACAACTTTTACCAAGATCTCAACTGCAGCAGTCATATAACTTACAACCTTACATGTTTTATGGGCCCATAACTTATTTAACAACCAAAACAAAAGCCTGTACATAAGGTGTACCAGATAAACATTCAAAAAAGGAAAGAAAAAAAACAAAACCGAAATTTTATCCCAGTCACGTTTATAATTAGTCAATCTGCCCCCCAGGTATATTAAACGTATTACAGTCATTTATTCTCTTGACATTTTTTTCATTTGAAACTAAATCTAAATTTAAATTGCGATTCTATTGCAAATGCAAATGATTGCCCAGCCCAAATTTGAAGTGAAGTGAAACTCAATCTGAAAGAACATAAATAGAGAAATAAAAAAAGGAATAGATAAATTCTAAAAAAAATGGAACAAATAAAACTTAAAGTCGCAGGGAGACGGCTGTTCTAACGGTTACAGTTCTGAATTCTCCCGAGTGGTTTTTACACAAGTGAATAAAGTGAATATTATTGGGCATTTATCAAGGGGGCGGGATTATTGTTGCCGGAGGTTCGCAAGCAAGTTTTGTCTAAGCATCTTGCTAACCAGTTAGCAACTTAGTGCTAGTAGTGCTTCTCAGATTTTGATATTTTAGGTTTTTTTTTTCAAACCTGTTTTTTAAAGTTGTAGGGAAGTCATATGTAAATAAATAAATCATTTTGGCTTAAACATGTATATAAATGCACTCTTTATCAGACCATATTGTCCCAAAATTTAGAAAATTTCAATAAAAAAAAATCCTGTCTTAAAATCTGTGGTGTTTTTTTCGTTATCTTATGCAGGCCAGTTAGTTATACGTCAGCCTGTACACCTAAATTTGGCCAATCATATACCAACGGTCATCTGTCAATCTAAGAATCCTTTTCTTTACCATTGAGTTCTTTCCCAGTGTTCAGGGGGATGGACGTCTGTGTCTTCAGCAGGCGTAGGGCTAACAGAACTGGCATTATTGTGAGGCAAGGGCTCAAACATGTACGGCTGTAAGCCCTCTACAACAAACCAAGCCTTTGCCGCCCTGGCGTCCTCTTCCACAGCAACTCTGTCCCTACTTTCCTTCTCTAAATAAAAAATGTATGACGGAGACTCATCCACGACCTCCGACACAAAACTCTCCTCCTCTTGCATGTTTTCGCTGTCCATAGCGTTTCTTGACAGTGTCGTTGCTAAGTGCTACTTGATCCCAATGTAAATTCCCGTTGGGAACCTACTAGCAATAAGTTGCTAACTGGTTAGCAAGATGCTTCGAACAAACCGGTCACAACTAAACTCGCTTGCGAGCCGTCTGCCACAACAATCCCGCCCCCTTGATAAACGACCAATCACATTCACTTTATTCACTCGTGTAAAGTCGTGCACCACTCGGGAGAATTCAGAACTGCAACCGTTGGAACTGCCATTTCCCTACGACTTTAAATCTAGTACAGTGTATCCCTTTTTTTGTACCTATAGTGTTTATTTTTGACGGTTCTATGCTAACAGCTCTGCAGGAGCAGAGATCATGCCTTAGATGCATGGCTGCCTTCCTGCCAGCTTCCAGGTCAGCTTCTCTGATTGGTTGGTTTAGAAAAAAGTCACATTTTACAACTCGAACATCTAAACTTTGGATGCACTTGAAGCGCTTCAATGCTTGGCACCAAGACGCACCGTACCTGATAGTCAAACCGCTTCAAGGTGCACCATGGCAGACAGTCATGAAGTGCTTTAGGACCTCTCTACGCCTCTTAATGCTTGTCCACCATAGACTTTGCTGCTGCCTCTGATGCTGAAAACATGTTTGGTGTGAATGCAGCATAGGAGGGGGTAGGAGGTTGATCAGGTGGAGCCAGGGACCATTTGCTGGATTGGGCCTGGAACCCATTCATAATTACTGGTTTTGTTTTGTAAAAGCATAAAGATTTATTTGTTTAATTATGTATTTGTTAAAAAAAAATGGTGATGGTAATCTTTACAATAAGATGGGAAAGAAAGTGAGATGAGCTTTGAGCCCTCTCTTTCTTTTGGCACATATGGAGAGATGGGAATGCCCTAAAATGTCCCTAACTGCTTTCCATTGCTTTTTTTTCTCAGGTCACTCTTCATCATACCAAATTAATGGAGCTCAGGTTTCATATGCAACCTACATCAAGGAGCTTGAAAAGGTCGGGATTGTGACCAAAGCTCAGAACATTCTGGTGTTCCAGGTAAGATGGTCGCCTCGGCTACTTCAACCCGTTACGTTTCACTCAGGATTGTAAATTCTCTCACATGGTTTAACCTGGAAAACTAATCAATTCTACCTGCTACAGCTTTGAAGTTGAGCTGTTCTAATAATGAAATGTAACATCCTGCAGGATTAAAGATCCTGCAGCAGGTGTTGCTGCAGCAGTTAGAACGTCTGTCAGGTTTCAGTCCTGCAAAGCTGTGGGTGATAAAGCTCCTCTTGTTATTCTGGAATCCCCCCAAAAGAAGGAGTTCCTTCACGGTTTTTATGACTGAGAAAACTAAGCACACATCAGTCATACACCCATCACAGGCTGACTTTTCCAGAAAATGTCTGCTCTAGATTTGATTTTACTGTGCATTGAAATCCAATTTGGCTCTCAGTGAACCTGTAGCCCTAAATATTCCCCCACCCCCACCAATGATTTACTCTCATTCTCTCTTAACCTCTCTAAATCTATTAACCATTTCTTTCCTAAACCTTACATCTTACATTTTTTGTCTTACCACCTATAAATCAGAAATTATGACATTTAGAATAAATACTCTATGACTTTGTGTCATAAAAACACTTTCACAAACACTTTCTTTGGAGCTACACTTGATTTAATGCGATGTAACTTCAGGCAGAAATTGTCGTTAAAGAGCAGGTTTGCCTGTGATCACCGAAGCTCTATCAACTTTAGACAAATTTTTGACGTCGTTTATGATGTAAACATGTCATCGTTGCGCTGCTGTCTCTAGGGGGCAGTGGAGGCCATTGCTCTGAAGGAGCCAAAGGAGAGGACTAAGATGTTAGAGTGCATCTGTCAGTCCCAGCAGTACGCTGCAGAATACCAGATGAAGAAGGAAGCCCTGCTGAAGGCTAGAGAGGACAGCAAGTTTCACTTCAACAACAAGAAATCTGCCATAGTGGAAAAGAAACAGGTCTCCCAAGAAAAAGAAGAGGTAAAGTAGCAGATCGTCTGGTAAAAATGACCGCCAACTGCTCTGCTGGATATTGTGAACATTTCTGTGTTTAAGTACCGAAAGCTTGTAGTAAAACGGCTCCAGGGCCGCATAGGACAAGCTTCAGCCTTATTGATCCTCTTAACGGTTTTATTAAGCTGCTGATGTCTTTATTTAATCCAGAAATAGTTGTTGAAAATTGGGATGTGTTTGGTCGTTCTGATTTTGTCCCACTTTAGTCCAATAATAGACGTCGTTTGGACTTAAAACATGTTATCTTTTCAACCAATCCTCCCAAGCAGTGATGGGAGGGGCTAACACTCTGCTCTCAGCGGTCTCACTTACTCTCATCAACAATGTTGTAAATTTGTCGACTTATTCGCTAGGGGTGCAAATCACACCCATCATGGCGATTCGATTCATTATCAATTTCCTGACCCAACGATTCGATTATTTTTAATACTCAAGAATACACCACGATACGATTCGATTAATTGGCCTAGGTGAAGTACAACTTTGCTACTTTTGCAAAGTTGTACTTCACCTAGGCCTATGAAAACCTCATTCACTGAAAAATAACAATCCCTCTTTGTTTATGCGAGTAGGGCTGGGTATTGTTAAAAAATTTACGGTTCCGGTACCAATACTGATACCTTCAGTTCGATACTGGTTCCTGAACGATACTTTTTTCGATACCAGTTTTATAATATCAATTCGAAGAAAAAGAAAATTACACAACATAAAGAAAGTACAAATCTTGAGTTTTATTTTAAGCTCTGATTTTTCCATTTACATTTTTCCTCTTACATAAAAAAATCAGTGTCTAATATTCACTGTTACATTGTGAGGACCTTTTTACTTAGCAGTTTTCCTTTAGAAAAATTACCATGTCTGACAAACAAGCCCGTTGAATGGGATCCTACTGACAGCGCACCGCTGGTATGTGGGGGTCTGAGCGGCTCCGACAGAAATATTGGAAGGCAGGATGAACTGAACGCACTGATTAAGTTTTCAGGTGGATTTTCCCACTTAAAAACATAATAAAACTACTTTATCCTTTCTTTGCCTTGCAGCTATATTTGCTGTGATCAGTGGGAATAGAGTCACTCCACCCAACACGCGTCAGAGCCACTTTTCGACTGCGCAGCCAGAGCAGAAAAGATGCTTCAGCCGCGCGTCAGAAGCTGGTACAAGCAGCAAAAAGGAAGCAGCAGACGTGATTTTGCTCCTCCTGCTGCGTTCAGTTTGAAAGCAGCATGATTCACTCCGCTCTGGCTTTGCACTGCCCACGGGCTGCTGAGAGGAGGATGGTCGCGCTGGCTGCGGTCCGCTCTTCTTGCAGTCAAACACCGAGCAACTTTCTGCTCTTAAATTGTTTCTGTGCACGATGTATTGCATTGTGCACTATTGGCATCAGTCTTAATAAAGTGAAGCCACACTTTTGACCTGGGGGGCATTTTAAAGGGGTTCCACAATGCTCGCAACCAGTTCACAACAGATACACATGAAACCTGGCTGTAGGCGGGACCACCTATATATTTTTCCTGGGTGACGCAATCACGTTAAGTGTTACAGCCAATCACCGAAACTTGGTACCGAAAGACGAGGCATGTTTCGATACTCTGTAGAACCGAAGCATTTCGGTCGGTACCATAAAAGAACCGAAGTTCGGTAGCCAGCCCTATATGCGAGTGTGTGTGGCAAGCGGAAAGAGGGTAGTGGCTGAAGGAAGTGAGGCAGGAGGGAAAAATAGGGTTAGCGCCACCGCAGCATGGGAGTCAGAATTACGTCCAGGAGCAAATGGATACATCTAGACCAGAGAAAAAAAAACAAAACATGAATCGATACTCTTGCGGACACGTCGATGCATCGGATCGTCTGCTGTTTGATGGATGCATCGATACAAAACGATTATTATTTACACCCCTATTATTCACTGTATTTAACAACTTTTCAGACCCATTTAGTTAATTTTTCCAGAAGTGACTAGTGATGATTCTAGCTGCTGCGGACAAGTGAAAACCACCAATCATGCTTAGTTTATATTGTTCAGTGACTGCAGCTCTGAGTCCCTCCCAGAGAGCCGATGGTCAGTTAGTCAGCATCACAGCACAGCAGCTAGGAGGAAATAAAGCGACACGTCTGTTTGCCCAAAAAGAATCACGCTGCATGAGAAAAGCTTCAACTTATTCCACCCAGATGAAGCGGGGTGTAAATATAATGTAACGTATATATATATATATATATATATATAAGGGCTGCAACTAATATTTATTTTGCAAATGAAATAATCTGTTGGTTATTTTTCCGATTATTTGATTAATGATAGGATGGCCAAAGATTCCTTAAAGATTTTTTACGAAATTAAACCAGGTGAAACTTTTCCTTTTGAGGGGTTCAGAATAAAGTATATGGACAGACAGAAATTTGTTTTATCTTAAATGTAAAATGTTTTGATATATTTTTACAATCTTGTTATAATTGCAGTTCAAGGTTTGTTTTCAGCTGAAGGTATTTTTTAGAGTCTTTATGCTCCAGTTAATGATTAATCGGTTAGTAAATTAGTTAAAATTATTTCAGTAATCGATTAATCACATTTTTGTTAGGTTTTAGCCTACCTAAATGCATGTTACGTCCACCAAGGGCACAACATATTTGAGGACACGAGACGAAAAGATGAGGGTTCAAAAAAATATTTTATTTATAAATTCTCCCCACTTTAGTTTTCTTGGCTCAGCTTCTTCTGATTTTCTGCGAAGAAAATAAAGTTAGAGGCCCTCAGATCCCGTGCCCCAAAGGAATCAAAAAATAAGAACCCAAAAGTAACAACAGAAAGTTGGACCTGGCAGGCCGATCAAACAGAACAAAACGGTACAGCAGGGGGCCAACCCTATTAAGGGCCGTCGAAGCCCCTACTAGTACCGGACTAACGCACAAAAATAACCTAAGCAAAAGAAAAATCGAAAATAGGACAACCGGTCCCACCAGGCCAAAACCACAAGAAAAAAGTAAGCAACGGCTAACCAAAATACCGCATGGCAGGCTGGAACGTCCGCTGCGGGCCGCAGCGACAAGACAAGCGCGCACCACGCACGGTGGAACAAGTGGAAGCAGGTGGAAAAGCGGCGTCCAGGCGAAGATGGAAAGGAACGCCTCAACATGCCGAAAGCCAGCCTATTTATAGGCTGACAACAGCACCACAAATTAACGTAATTAACTGACCAAAAGAATTATTCAACTCCCAAAATATATTAACAAAAGATCCTTCAACTAAAGTCTGTAAGAAAACAAAGAAAAGAAATAGACAAAAATCATAATGTGCCCGAAGCACATAACACCCCCACCCAAAGACTCTGAATGGGGTTTGAAGTAAAAAAAAAACTCAACCCATTCAGAAAAAAAACGGGACTAGAGTTGTGAGAGTGCGTCGGCCACTACGTTGTCTTTACCACGAACATGTTGTATAGAGATGTTAAATGATTGGAGTCGCAGAGACCAGTTCATCAAGCGGCGGTTTTTATTACGCATGCGATCCAGAAAAACTAATGGATTATGGTCCGTAAAAACAACCACAGATCCGCTAGAACCTCCAACATACACCTGAAAATGTTCTAAAGCCAGGACTAACACTAATGCCTCCTTCTCAATGGTGGAATACCATCTCTGATCAATCAGGATTATCATTTAAAATAGAAATCCTGAATGATACCTATTCTTACCTGCAAGCAGCATCTGAAAACAAACACTGAAACACTTTGATTTTGACATAACTGAGGATTGTTGCAGTATTTGTCGATGCTGCTTTATCTGTTATTGTTTACGTAAACTTTTTATTATTGAAGATTAAAGTAGTAGAAAAGATCCATTCTGTTCTTTGGTTTGTTTTAGTAGTCTTTTAATGTCTTTCTTTGAGATGAGTTCTTCTGGTGAAATCCTTCTTGTTCTTTACAGGTTTTAAATCTTTCCTCAATCTGTCCAGTCAATCTCTCCTCACTTCTATTTCAGGCCCTGAAGTACCAGGCCTTGGTGGATGACCTGAACCACAAACGTCTGAAGCTGAATCTGGTTGAGCTTTTTTATAACGAGAAGAGCATCAGCGCCATTAGTGAGACGCTGAGGGAGAAACAAGAGGATGCAGCGGGAAAGACCGACGAGTTGGTTACTGCAGAGCAACGCGTCAAAGCCCACAAAAAAGAGCACGGACGTCTCAGCAGAGAGCAGCAGCACCTGGAAAAAGAAATACGGTGTGTTTTTGCTCCAGCAACATTTACAAAGTTTTTTCTCTTTACATCTTTGAATAAAACAAACGCTTAAGCTTAAATAACAAATGATTGTTTTATAGATCAGTGTTTTTACCGAGGCAAAAATAATCACAGTATATTTTAATTTGAATACCTGGATGATTTGAATCATAGGCATCAAGACACTTATCAAACTACAAATCGCCACTTTTAAACATCTTTATAATTATACTCTCCCAACTAAAGTGGAAGCTTTCACTACAGTCACAGCCTGTGTTGATATAAAGAAATATGTATCAGTCTTAGTAAAGTATTAACTTCAAGGTAAGAATTCCTGTTATTCTGTTTCAAAGGGGTCAGGAGCACATCCTGGCTCAGTCCAGCTCGCAGTACGTCAAAGCCAAAGTGAACACATCTCATCACATAAAGAAGGCTGCAGAGATCAGCGCCGCTGTGATGAGGAACAAGAAGAAGTTGGAAAGTAAAGAGCAGGAGCTGGAAGAAGGTCAGCAGGAAATGGCTGAGCTTGAGAAGACGTGGAGGAGGTATGAGAGGCAGACCCAGGAAGAAGGAGTCGCAAAGGGAAGAGACATCAGTCTAGATGAGGATCAGGTATTTATTACAAAGATCACACCTGACTATGCTTTAGCTTAGTAGTTGTTTTTTTGTACAGCTTTTTAAGAGTTTTTAAAGTGAAAACATGTTTTAAGGAAACGTATTTACTGTATAACTAAAAAGATAAAAAGCATTTGATTCTAAAATGACAATGTGTACATTTGTTTAGTAAGACAGTCTGCCAATAGAAAAATATTATTTACATTTGAAATAAGAAAAAAACACCTCCATCATCTTATTTCAAGTGTTTAATAACTAATTATCCTATTTAAAGGGTAAAAATACTCTTTCCATTGAAAGATCATTTTACTGAATGAAATTCAAATACTCTTAATAATTAAAAAAATCTATTTTGCTTTATTTGGAATAATTTCCTGAAATAGATGCTGAGTAAATAACCAAATATAGATCATCACAAAGTATTAATAAAGCTTCATGCAGCTTCTTCGGCATTAAACTCCAGGTACCGTAGACCTGCAGAAAGCCTGTAAAGAACAGCTGAAAAGATAATTTCTCTAAAACCTAATGTTCTGTTGTTTGGTTTTGCATTGATCTGTGTCACAGTTAGATCAATATAAGGAGCTGAAGAGGTTAGCCCAGAAGCAGGCGGCTGTCCTCTTCCAGCAGGCTGAGAAGCTACAGTGGGAAGTGACGGCAGACAGTGAAAAGCTGGCTTTTGAGCAGCGCAGAAAGAAGGAAAAAGAGGTACTTTTATTTTTTCTGATTCCTGAAAATTCCTCTCTCTCTGTAGATTTATTGTATTTTCATTAGATTTGAATGGTTCCAAGTCTCTGAATGGTTATATTTGAACATGTCATCGACTGACTCATCATTAGGGTTGAGCATTGTTTGAATTTGAACTATTCTTATTCCTGATCTGATTCTAGTTCTGATCGATTCTTGTTTATGAATCTTTTATGAGGAAAAATTATCAAAGTTTCAATGGCATAAATGAGCTGCTAACCGGAGCGCTCTCTGGATGAGATAGAAACACATTCACATGTATCCAGCGTCTGATACTTCAGGTACCAATACAGCTCCTCATTAGTCTTGGAAGTAGAGATGTTTTACTTTTATGGGCAGAGGAACGATCAGATTTTCATACTCAGTCGTTCAGTTAGTGGGTTTCATTATATGAAAGAGAAAGAGAACTAAAAATAAACAATTAAAACTTAAAATCGTTATTAAATTTAGCAGATCTACAGTAAAGAGCTTTCTTTCTATCCAGAGCGTGCAGAAAACAAGGCAGCCATCTGTTAAATATAAAGTAAGAGGAAGAAAGTATAAAAAAGCTTCACTCTACCTGCAGACACTCTGCTATTTATTCACAGGGGAACAGACTAACTTGGGAAGCTGACCTTAAAACACCAGAGCAGCGGCTTTGATGAGGCTCTCATCCTGAGTTTGGCAGTGAATAATCATGTCGGCTGTGAGCCTTCCTTTGCATCAGTACTGCAGGAAGCCGACTGGTCATTAGGCTACGTTCACACCGCAGCCTGAAGTGACCCAAATCCATTTTTTTTGCCCACATGTGACCTGCATCTGATCTTTTAATGGCTGTTTGAACAACACAGATACCATTTTTTCCAATGCGACCCAGGCCGCTTAGCTGTGTGGTCCTGGATCCGATACAAATCGGATCTTTTCAAATGCGACCTGTGTCTGAACAGCCAGGTCGCATTCATCCGACCTGAACGCCATTAGCAACTGACATAGGTCGCTATTCTTTCTTTACAGAAGCGGCAAGAAAAACAAACCCCATGGTGGACGATGATGCGGATAAGATTGAGGTTTCAAGGTTGGGAGAGATCGCTAGATGCACTCCGGCATTACATCCATGTTTACTTCCGTAAACACAGAGCACGCTGGCTTGCGACGTCATTGCATCATCTATTCCGAATGCGGGACACTTAAGCTGTATGAATGCAATTCACACAGGAGATCACATACAGGTCGCATATATTTGGAAATGTGAATGGCAAAAAAATTGGATTTCACAAAAAAATCTAAATTGAGCATCAAGGCCTGCAGTTTGAACGTAGCCTTAATGGATTCCAGAAGAGCTTAAGGGTTAGATCCGGTTCTGATCGATTATTGATCCTCGGTGCCAAACCCTAATCATCATGTTGTTTCACAGGCTGCCATCAAAAGCTGCCAAACTCGTCAAGAAGATCTGATGAGTAGAGCTGAGAAACTGGAGGAGTACACCCAGAAATGCAAGTAGGTGAAATGTGTTTTGTAACAGAATGAAAAATTTAATTTGATGTGGAATTTTGCGTCTTATTTAATCAGGGCAGGTTTTTTCTGTGTGTTTTTTTGTTGTTGTTTTTTTTGTAACATAGAAGGAAACTAACCATCAAAGTATTGTGTGACTCAGGGATTCCCTTGAAGATTTTGATCAGCGGGGGGCGAGTCTGTCTGCAGAGCTTCAGCATGTGTCTCAGCGAAGCAGAGAGCTGGAGGAGGAGCTGCTGCAGGTGACGGAGGAACTAGCCAACGCTCGTCTGGACAGCCACGAGAGCAGACACCAGCAGCAGCGCCGAGAAATGCTAGAAAAGCTGCGCCGACTCTACCCAGAAACTGTTGTAAGACCCAAAACAAAATGGCCTTTAATAGAGACAATGAAATGCTGTTTCTGTCTGCAAATCAGTTAAAAAAAGAAATGATGCGGATGCTGAATAAGTCTGTAGTTTAGTTTCACTCTAGATTTAAGAAAAACTAAATAATCCCGTAAAGATTTATGGTCCATATATCCACATCAAATTGTTATACTCAGTTTAGGCTGAAATATATAAATAACTATTTACTGTACGCTAACTGGCTAACCTAAGTTGTCTCTAATTATAAATGTGAGTCCGGGTTTCCAGCTGACGGACTCGTGATGTGAACAAAGTAAAATCCATCAGCTGTTCTGACTCTGCTTTAGGTAGTACTGGCTGCAGAACATAGAAATGAAATCATAAAGATTATATGATAGGGCTAGACTATTACATTCTGTAGCCGCGCTTTTCTGCTATCCATTATTAATGTTTTTTTTTTTTGTTTGATAACATTCACTGTCATAGCATCACTCTCATCCTGTAAATGCTAGGAAACTGGAGAGAAAATATCGCTCCACAGGCCTGCGAGAGTCCTTCCTAGTCTGGAAAAATGGTTTACTGCTGTATAAGAGGACCCTTTGTAAAGCAAGAGCAGCATACTTCTCATTAATAGAGGAGAATAAGAATAATCCTAGATTTCTTTTTAATACAGTTGCCAAACTCACCCAGAGCCATAGCTCTGTTGAACCGTCCATTCCACCTGCTCTTAGCAGCAATGATTTTATGGGATTCTTTATAAATAAGATTGATCTTATTAAAAATAAGATCATAAGCACTCCTCTATCCGCGATTGTACCTGAGGTAGTCATGGAATCTGAACCGGGTTTAGACTGCTTTGATCCAGTTGAACTCTCTGAATTAGCAAAATTATTGTCTTCATCTAAGCCTTCAACTTGTATGTTAGATCCAGTTCCAACCAGGTTATTTAAGGAGGTATTCCCTTTGATCTCCTCCTCCATTTTAGATGTGATTAATCTATCTCTGTTACAGGGATATGTACCTAAAGCTTTTAAGATTGCTGTAATTAAACCTCTGCTTAAGAAACCGTCTCTTGACCCAGATGACTTGGTCAATTATAGACCTATATCCAATCTTCCTTTCTTATCCAAAATTCTTGAGAAAGTAGTTGCCAAACAAGTTTGCGATCACTTCCACCATAATGAACTTTTTGAAGAGTTTCAGTCTGGCTTTAGAGCTCATCATAGCACTGAAACAGCTCTGGTGAAAGTCACTAATGATATTCTCATGGCCTCAGATAATGGACTTGTATCTGTGCTCGTCCTGTTGGATCTTAGTGCTGCATTTGATACAGTTGACCATAATATTCTTTTAGAAAGACTTGAATATTTTGTTGGAATTAAAGGAACAGCACTAGACTGGTTTAAATCTTATCTATCTGATCGAATTCAGTTTGTTCATGTTAATGATAGATCTTCAACACGCTCAAAGGTTACCTGTGGAGTACCACAGGGATCAGTGCTAGGACCAATTCTCTTTACTTTATACATGCTCCCAATTGGTAGAATTATTAGACAGCATGGGATTAATTTCCACTGTTATGCTGATGATACCCAGCTATATCTGTCTATAAATCCAGATGAAGCTAACCCATTACATAGATTACAGGCATGTCTTGAAGACATAAAAACCAGGATGACTCTTAATTTTCTGCTTCTGAATGCAGACAAAACAGAAGTTATAGTCTTTGGACCAGAGTCTCTGAAAAAGAAACTGATTAGCCAGTCACTTCATTTGGATGGGATTAAACTGATTTCAGATAATAAAGTAAAAAATCTTGGTGTTATTTTTGATCAGGACCTGTCATTTAAATCCCATATCAAAGAGGTTTCTAGAATTTCCTTCTTTCATCTGAGGAACATTGCAAAAATTAGAAATATCCTGTCCAGGGGTGATGCTGAGAAACTAGTCCATGCATTTGTTACTTCAAGGCTGGACTATTGTAATTCTTTACTATCAGGAAGTCCACAAACTGTAGTTAAAAGCCTTCAGCTGATCCAAAATGCTGCAGCCAGAGTTCTAATGAAAATGAAAAAGAGAGATCATATCTCGCCTATCCTGGCTTCTCTTCATTGGCTTCCTGTTAAATCAAGAATAGAATTTAAAATCCTCCTTCTCACATATAAAGCCTTAAATGGCCAAGCTCCATCTTATATCAGAGATCTGATTGTTCCTTATGTTCCTAACAGAGCACTTCGCTCTCAATCTGCAGGTTTACTAGTGGTTCCTAGAATTTCTAAAAGTAGAATGGGAGGCAGATCTTTTAGTTATCAGGCTCCTCTCCTGTGGAACCAACTACCAGTTTTAGTCCGTGAGGCAGACACCCTGTCTACTTTTAAGGCTAGGCTTAAAACTTTCATTTTTGATAAAGCTTATAGTTAGGGTGGCTCAGGTTATCCTGAGCTATCTCTATAGTTATGCTGCTATAGGCTTAGACTTTTGGAGGACATAGGGACCCCCATTTCATCATTCTGCTTCATTCTCTCTCTGTTCTCCTATTCTGCAGAATCTGTTAGTTCAATCTCTAACCTTCTGCTCTCTCTGCTTTTCCTCAGAGTAGCTTTGCCTCGTCTGTTCCTGTTTGGCTGTGACGTCATCCTGAAAAAAACATCAGCTGTGCTGCTTCTATCAACACCCTTGTTAATAGATGTTGGAGATCGGCCTGTTTTCCAGTGTGGTCCTGTTTCTCTGACCGTGACTGAGTGGATGTGCTCTCTTCGTCCTCTGGCATGGGAGCTGCCTTGGAGCTCGTCTGCCTGGCTGTGTGTTTCCTGGACGGGGCCGCCTTTTACAGCTGCTTTTTGTATCTCTGCTTCTGTCTCCTTGAACCCCAGTCGGCCTCGGCAGATGGCCGCTCACACTGAGCCTGGTTCTGCTGGAGGTTTCTTCCTGTTAAAAGGGAGTTTTTCCTCTCCACTGTCGCTACAAGCATGCTTAGTGTGGGGGATTGTATTTGAGTCAATGAGTCAATGCAATCAACTGGTTTTCCTTAGATAGAAAACTTTGTATCAATTTGACTGTATGATCTGGTTGAACTGTAAAGTGCCTTGAGATGACATGTGTTGTGAATTTGGCGCTATATAAATAAACTGAATTGAATTGAATTGAAAATTAAATGGAAGAAGAAAAAGGAATATTGGCTCTAAGAATCAGCCCATTAATATCTACAGCACATATTGGATTTTAGCTTAGACTGGTGTCAACATAAGCGCCATCAGCTTTAGGAAACCTGAATTGGTGGATCTCTTTTTTTACTCTACCTTAAAGAAAAAGGTGACAAGATTGTCAGCTTTTATTACAGCACGTGGAATTGTTTCACTAAGCTTTTGCAGTGTCACAAGATCTATTTCCACCCAGAGGTGCATTAATTTTTCACCAGGATCTTGCATTGATGATGGTAGAGTCGACCTTCTCCTGCACATCCCAAAGGTTTTCCATGAGGTTAAAGTCTGGACTATGTGGCGACCCATGATGTCTCATGAACCACAAATATAAATATGAAAAACTGCAACACAACGTGGGAGAAGCAGTCAACCTACTTTACGCTCGACTAGATCGTTCTGTTGACTGATGGCTGAACTTTATATAAAACATGGAAATAATATCCTCCATAAATGTTAGCTCTAATATTGTAAAACATTTAGTCTTATATGACTTTTAGACAATTAATGAACAAAAGATCTGAAAAACAAACCTTCCTCCATAAAAATCCTGAACGGTTTGGTGAAGGAGGAAGTGATGTCACAGGTAACATCCATGATAAAAACCCTCAACTTTCCCATAACTATAACTGCTTTAAATCATAATTTCAAGATAGTAATGACAATTCAATGTATTAAAAAAATATATATATTATCAAAGCTGATGAGAGGAATTTTTGGTGGAATGAATTGTGTTTTCTTTCATGTTATACCTGGACGTAAAGAACCGTAACTAACGGCTGATTGGACTAAAATGGGTCATGTAAAAAAGCCAGTCAGAATATTCTGATTGGATTCAACAGGTAAAGAATCGATTTGTAATCCAGCTTAGATTCGTGTTTTATCCTGACTGACAGTCCAATCAGCATCCATGTAAACACTTGTTTCAACTGAAGGAGGCAAGCTGATATTAGAGTGTATGTACACTTTACATGGCTAGACGTAAGTAAGAATAATCAGATCAGCATGACACGTTTTATTCAGATTACTTACTGTATGTTCATTTAAAAATTTCGTCCTGATCTTCAAATTTTGTGTGTTTAAACATAGCTAGCACGATCAGATCATTGTTACCGTCACAGGTAGTCCTTCTTGGATAATGATACTGGAAAAACTGAACCTATTTTTGATCCAAGATTCTCCCAGCAGCTTTGGGTTTTTCATGTTGATGTGCAATAAGGCAGGTAAATGTTTTCTGCCTCCATTTGGCTGATTGACAGACAGGCGGAATGTATGTACACAAATAAGTGTGAGATCAGACAGGAACCTGTCATTTGACATCTGTCTGTTCTGTTGCAGTTTGGGCGACTGTCTGATCTCTGCAGCCCAGTCCATAAGAAATACCAGCTGGCTGTTACCAAAGTGTTTGGCTCCAACATGAATGCAATCGTTGTGGCGACTGAGAAGGTCGCCCGCGAATGCATCGGCTTCCTCAAGGAGCAGCGAGGCGAGCCAGAGACCTTTCTGCCCGTCGACTACCTGGTGGTGAGTGGCTTCATTTACCTGCAGGTGATTGACGGAGGAGGTGGTCAACCTCATAGCTCTGATAATCCTCATTCCTCTGTGTGCAGGTGAAAACACTGAATCAACGACTCAGAGAGATCCCAAATGCCAAGATGGTTGTGGATGTGGTGCGGGTTACTGCCGGCCCAGGCGCTGCTCTGCTGGAAAAAGTGATGCAGTACGTCTGCGGCAACGCCTTGGTGTGTGAAACCATGAAAGTTGCCAGGAGTGTGGCCTTTGACAGACAGGAACGAGTTATGGTAAGCAGGAAATGGGAGCTGTGTGGTCTTCAGTTGTGTGGTTCCTGTTGTGCTAATCAGCAGTGATGCGTGTAGACTGTCACCTTGGATGGGACGCTGTTTAAAACTTCAGGCGTGATCTCTGGAGGTTCCAGCGATCTGCGGACCAAAGCTCGCTGCTGGCAGGAGAAGGACATGATCCGTCTGAAGGAACACAAGGACGAACTGATGCACGAGTTACGGGTGAGTTATGGTGTCCAAACGCCATAGTTTCATCACAATACATGCTGTCTGCTATCACCCTATTTATTTTTTCTTCATCTTTGTCTTTTTGCAAATTTTCTGTAAACATTTAGCTAAACAATCTTCAGTTTTGTTTGTGTTTTGGCTGTTTGTTATTCTAACAGGACTTAGTGAGGCTCAGAAGGAAGGAGTCCAGTCTAAAGCAGATCTTGGCTGAGGCTCAGGGAGCTCAGAGCCGTCTGAAGTACAGCACAACCGATTTGGAAATCCTTCGGGACAAAGCCATCCCTGACTGCAGAGCGGTAGGACAGATGTGCTGTGATCTCACATTCAGTCCAATAACTAAACACATATTCTGTTTAAGCACAGATCATCAGTCAGAACCCAGCAGAAGCCTGTTTGTCTTGATGGTTGTTTCTTATGCAGGGAATTTTGTTCTCTTATTGTTGTAACAAAATAACAAGTGTTGTTAATGATGAGTGAATTAAAATATTCTCCAGAAATGAAACTTTGCAAAACTTCCTTAAAAAAAGGTTTTCCTCAGATTAAATATTTTTCTAATCCATTTTCTTTTCCAGAACAAGTTTTTTTCCTAGTATTGTTTCGTTATTGTTACAACTAAAAAATGCATTTGGTGAATGGAAACTTGGAAGAAAAGGACTCTTGAAATAAACTGAAAAATGTCTTTAAAGAGAATTTTTTGAGTGAAACTTTACTGTTTTCTCAGATTTAAATATGTTTTCTGTGCTATTGATGGCTTCCAGGAAATCTCCTGCCTGAAGAGTGAGCTATCAAACCTTAAGTGTCAGATTCAGATGCAGCAGGAGAGTCTGGAAGCAAAAGACGCAGAGATAAAAAGAATCAGACAGCAGATCGATCAGGTACAGCCTTTCTATTCTAATACTATGAACTGCTACATTCTGTTCCCACTATAAGAAAAGCTTTAAAATAAACCATTTTTAAAGAAACAATTAAAACTATGTTTTTGGTTGTGTTTTTAGATCGAGGATGAGGTGTTTGCAGACTTCTGTGCCCAGATTGGTGTGGGAAGCATTAGAGAGTTTGAACAGGAGCACCTAAAGCTGCAGGAAGAGGTCGACAAGAAACGGTAAAACAAAAAACTTTTTATTACTGCATCTGAAATTCAGTCTAGCTAATGGAGCTAAAAGACTTAAATGAGATCCTTTAATGCCTTAAAGAAAAGATTCCCCCCTGACAGATGTCTAATGTTTTACCTCTTTTTACACTTTATGGTTTCATATCATCAAAAAAGACGACTGGCCTTCTCACTCCAGCCCTGTAGTTGTAGGGGTTATTTTCTCTTGAAAATACACAGCTGAAATAAACCAGGAATAGCTCCACAATGATCAGGTGTAGTTAGGGCACTGTTGGCTGAGTGTCTGAGTTGGAGGAAAAACAAATGCAGCAGGAAGGCCTCCTAACAGAGTTTATACCCTCGGCTGAGTTTACAGCTCATCAGTTCCACTAAACTAGACGTGGAAGTAGAGATGTTTTACTTTTAGGGGCAGAGAAACGATCAGAATTTAAACTCCTTCGTTCAGTTAGTGGGTTTCATCAAAGGCAGAATTAGATTGCGGGAATCTGTTAACATGTAAGGTAAGAGGAAGAAAGCATAAAAACGCTTTCTTCAGCTTTAAGGCACATTTTTAAATGCCGCCGCACAGAGTGTCAGGTTAATCCAGGCATACACTGTACATTGTTTTGCCCTTATTGGGACGATTCTCCAGTTGTGCGAGAATTTTTCCATCGGGCCAAATTTCAGCCTCCTCGTGTGTCCTGCGATGTGTAGTATACAGGGTGTAACCAGGGGCGATTAGCCTCTCACCACCACCTCCCGATCAGGAATCGTAAGGTTGGGAGAAATTCAAACATGTTTGAAATTCAGTCGGCCATCATAAGGAGTTTGTGGGCAAATTCTGCTGTTAAAGCAGATCTATGAGCAGATTTACCAGAAACTCGAGCACTGCGCATGCACAAACAAGGGAGTTCTTCTTCTTCTTTCAGATTGAAGAGCCAGCGCCATCTCTCGCCGCTAAATCCGACGTGTGGTTTTTGGACATACAGTGTGAGCAATTAGATCGCATCAGAGCGCTGGGCAATACAATGAGAATATGCACCCTGAGCCGTCAACTTTTAAACCCTTCGGTTTCATCGTGCAGTTTGAGCTGTAGCTGCGTGCAACAATTGAAAATATTGCACAGTGTATGCCCACCTTTAGTTATCTCCATTGTTCTGTTGCTGCACAAACAGATTAGGAAGCATCTGTTTCTGATAGGCGGACTGGGATCGGAACTAGGAATGGAAAATAACGTTGACATCTTTCAGTAGGAGAGAGGAAATATACCTATTTCTAATCTTGTGTGCTTCTTCTCTTTGGTTCTCACATTTCTCCCTGTAGCCTGGAGTTTGAAAGTCAGCGCGACCGCTTGAAAGCGCAGCTGGAATATAATAAGGAACATCTTGTGCAGGAGAAGAAGAAGCTGCACTCAATGGAGGACAAAGTTAGCAAGGAGGAGCAGGCCATTGCTGAAAGCAAAGAGGTAAACATATGTTGTTGCTGCTTTTATGCAGCAATGTAGGACCAGTAGGAGTGGAAAGTGGAAGTTTTAACCTCTCAGTTATGGCTAACGATACGTTTATGCTGCAGATCATCACACTGGATTTCTGCTTTGTTTTATTGTAAAGCCTTTATGTTGTGTGTTATTCTTTCATCTAAGCCAGTTTTTGTTGTTTTTTTCTCGTCAGGATGAGAAGAAGCTTCTGCAGGTAGTAGAGGAGGGTCAGAATAAGCTTCAGGAGATGAAGAACCAGCTTCTCCTTAGAAAAAAACAGGTGGCTTCATTGAAAGCTGAGCTCAGCCAAAAAACTCAACACCTACAGGAGATCAACAAGTAAAAATCCCCTTTACTATGCTGTTCACTCTGCACCACTGCTTATTGTGATACATAAGCAGGGCTGTACACTTTGCTTTGTTACCAACAGCATTAGAGCTCTCAGATGAAAACATTCAGGAGAACAGAAAGGAAATTAGCGACACTCAGAATCTGCTTAAATAGCAGAATTATAAAGAAACAAAACATTAATCTGGGTAATAATTCATGTTTCATGAGGCTGTCTTTTTTAAATGGAGGTTTCCATTCATGAATTACCTGCCTGCTTCTGCTCTTCATCCTCAAACTCAAGCCAAGGGAAGAGTTGGATCCAATCTGATTTAAACCTATAAACCTTGTTAGCTGTGTTTCTAAAAATCATCAGAACAGTAAATGCTGGAGGCCTTTCCTGTTTGCTGACATGTCCAATTAAAAATAACAATAAGGACACCTTATCTTTATCTAATAACTCATTATAGTTTTACCTTAACTTTGTCATATTGGGTTTATTACACTTACTTTACTTTAAGACCATTATTAGCTGAAACTAAGTTGTTTTTATATTACTAAATTTACCTTAAAGGGGAACACTGTTTTTTTTTACATTGGCCCCTTGATTTCACGTTATTACATCGTGTTCTACTCACTGTCAGGGTTCAGTGGTGGTTTGAGGACCCAAATGCAGAGGCAGAGGTTGAGGAGATTTCTTGCAGCTTTAATGAAATTAACAGAGGTAACAGAGGTGGGAATCCAAAAATCCAAAATCAAACATGAAAAATATAAAGTAAACCAGAACTATGGAGACATCTGGGGAAAACCAAACACGAGGAGCCAGGGAGAGATGAGGAACGTAGACCACAGCATGGGAAGACAGCTAAGAAAAGGAACCAACAAAGAGTGAGAGCAGAGGGAGAGCATATATAGCAGAGAGAGACAAAGGGAGGGCTAACGAGCAGACAAGGAGCAGGTGTGAGGGGAGACAACGAGGGAGCCAAGGGGAAAGGAACACACACACACAAGAGGGCAACAGAGGACAACAGAAAAACATGAGAACTAACATAAATCTTGAAATTACAACAAAACTGTAATTAAACCAATAAAACTAGAAAACAAGGAGCAAAAAACAACAGAACCAAGACCATGACACTCACCCATATGAGTTTTGTGTCATTGAACAGCTTGCCTACTTTAGACTTAGTTTTTAATCAACCCGGTGTTTCTGTTTCTGCTTTTCAAAGGGAGCTGACCAAACTTCAGCGAGAGGTCATGTCTGCTGAGACGGCCCTGGAACAGAAGCGCATGGCTCGACACAACATGCTGCTCGCCTGCAAAATCCAGGACCTGCCGATCAGTCTGCTAGTGGGCAGCCTGGACGAGATCAGCCAAGTGCAGGAGGTCCGACCTCTTTAAAACATAGATATTAAATGGGATAAAAACTCAGAATGCATAAAATTCCACCGGTAAAATTTTTACCACTATAGACATCATTGGAAAGCTTAGATTCTCCACACTTCAACCAAGATCACTTCATGTACAAAGCGAGTACCAAAGCACAATTAAAACAGATATAGCAACATGTCAAAATGCAAACAAACAAAGCAGCCACAATTACATACCTTTGAAGGCATCCAGAAGCTGTTTTATAAATCCAATCTTCAATTATACTCCATTCATCCATAAGGGTCCAAAGATGAAAGGTAATCCAGCATATTAGTAATAAAAATATTCCATGATGAGAAGAACGCCCATAACGTCCAGTTGTTGACATCAGAAGTTACCTGCTCATAGCTTATTCTCAGCATCTTGCTAATATTTACTTCTAATACTTATTTTCTCAGTTGTTATCCCACAATGTTTTTTATGTTTTTTTTTTACATCATCTTCTTATCTACAAGACATAAGTGTCTGCATATTTTTATGACGCAATTTGAGTGCCATATAGTCCCCGAAATCTCACCTCCGGTTCACTTGTGGTCCACTTCCTGCCAGCCAGTGACGCGCGATATTATGCCTTATTATTCTCTGCTTTTATTGGTTAAGACCACGTGGGGTGTTGGGCTTTGTAGCAAATGGAATAAGGTTTCGTACGAGCCCAAATGTGTGTGGCAGCAGCTGTCTGTGTGTTAGAGAGACACACAGACAGCTGCTGCTGGAGCCATTGCGCGCAGCTCCAAGCTGACACCAAAAGTTCAAATCCCCACAGCTCTGAAACTGTTGTAGCTGGAGGTCTGAAATTTTCTGCAAGTAATACAATGCAATCCGCCTTTTCTCAAGAATGTCTTTATTACTGCTGTTCTAAAAACACCTATAATTTCTGAGAATAAAAAAAAATAACTTTGAGTCATGTTTGAACTGATGCAGGTTGGTCTGTGTTCCACTCACCCAATTTATTTTTGAATGTATTTCCAATTTCATTTTTTTTTTGTTACAAAATCACCCTCAGAACAGTACACGGATACAGGAACTCAATGTATTTACTTTTTATTTTAGCTTTTTATCTTTTTATTTTAGATTTTTCATTTTTTAATTAGCTTTTTCTATGAGGTTTTTACTTTTTATATGAGCTAATTCACTTAGACTCAACCTTATTTTTCCCTTGGATTACTCCTTCAGGGGAATTCTGGTTCCAGTGGCTTATATAGAGAACAAAGGGCAGAGTTAAAGCAAGATGCCATTAAAGACAGACAACATTTAACTTTGCCTTTCTGCCTTATTTGCTGATAAGTGCTGTTTAAATCCAAGTTACCAAAAAAGTCAACTTAGATGATAAATGTTTTAGTGTGTTTGATATTAGTGAGCGGTTTCTCTTTCATACGGTATAGAACAAAAGCAGAAACCAATCAAACACCTGGTTTGTGATTTTTACAGCTTGGAACAGATTCAGAGAGCACCACAGCCACCATGGATATATACGAAAGAGAGGCGCAGCTCACCATCGACTATTCAGGGCTGGAGGAAGAGCTCACGGTGCGACGAAGAATCCTGAATATTCCTTTTTCTTTTAGTTCAGTTTAATATTCATTGAGCAAATGATGGATTAATTTGTTGACAGATTTTGGCTGAAGATGAAGAGATAGACGCTCAGATGGAGAAGCTGAAGGAGTCTGTGTCCTCTGCAGAAAAAGTGCTGAGTTCTACTTCCACCCCTAACCTGAAGGCTCTGGAGAAGAAGAGGGAGGTGAAAGACAAGTTGGAGGCAGTGACTGAAGGTATTTATCTTCTCATGTTTGTAACTTTCTGTTGATCATGTTTTCCCTAAATAAGACTTATTTCCTGTCTTTTATCAGTTCATTTTGTTTTCGTTCATTTGAAAAGGATTCATGCCTATTTTCTCTCCTTCATTCAGCTTTCAATGCGAGCACCAAAGTAGTCCAAAAGTGCAACAAGGAGTTTGAGGAAGTCAAAACTCAGCGCCTCAAGCTCTTCAATCAGTGTTTTGAACACGTGGTGCTCGTAATCGATCGCATCTATAAAAAAATATGCAGAAACAAGGGAGCCCAGGTGAGTCCAGAGATTAAACTCTGTAAAAACTGAATATCACCAGTTACATGTCTGTTTACAGGTGGGGTATGTTTCCTCCCTCTTATATTAACCCTTTAAAGGTTAACTGTTTCAGATGTTCTTTGTGGAATAATCCACAGCAAATAGTTCTTATATTTCAGACACAATCCTAACTTTAAACTGAATCCTTGTTTCTTTTCTAAGTCAGTATGTACCTGTTCACTGTGTTCTTTTTGCCAGCCATCTTAGATTTAGATTTGCGACTTAGACTATTATTGGTCTTAGTCGCATTTTAGTCATTACCATATGTGATAGTTTTAGTCAGTTTTAGTTGACTTAAACTTAAAAAGTTTTTATTCAAGGTATATTTAAATTCACAGGGTTTTGATATAAGCAAAATACAGAAAGAACCTCCATAATTGCCATGTAATGCCATGGTAATGCAGATTGAATATGCTAACTAAAATGTTGACATATTCAAAGGAAACATAAAATGTTTTAATGACAATACAAGGAAACGTTTACATCATATTTAAATAGATAGAAACGAGAACTATGAGAAAGAAATATTCAAAGATTTATGTACCTTTTTACCTGGGTCTTTATCCAAAAATACAAAAAACAGAATGCAATGAAATATTTTCTTTGGATGTAATTTAGGGATTCCATTTGGTAGAAATTAAAGAACGTTTAGTATCACCTCTTGTGAGCTGGAAAAAATTTAATATTGATAGTTAGACAAAGGTTTTTTTTACGCTTGGCAGAGGATGATCAGCCACATATAGTTTATTAAGTTGCGAGAGCAAGAAGAGCCATACTGCTGAGAGAGAACCATTAGAGTGGAGTAAAGTGCAGAGTCTGAGCTAAGATACATTTCAGCTCAGCTGAAAGATCAGAGCAGTTTGTCAGAGTTGAGCCCACAGTACCGGACCATTCCACTGCTGCTGCCATCATCCATCTGTGCTCATGCAGAATCTGCTCCGCTTCTCGTCAGGTGGGCTGCGTAACCAAACCAGACGCACAACGGATACTGCTTAGCTTGTCTCACAGATTACAAAAAAATTATGCATATTAAATGTCTGTCCGATGACCTGCTAATTTTTATAGTCTCGCTCGTTGATGAAAACTTAAACCTATGACTAGTGATGTTTTAGTCATCAATGATCCCCGTTAAGCTCTGCAGTTTATGTTATCATCATAAAAAAAGGAGCACCAATGAAATTATTTTGTCATGTTGACAAAAACAACACTGTCTGTTCAGCAAGCCTCTATTAGGGCTAAAACAATTAATCATGATTAATTAATTTGAGTTTCGTCTGGTTTAATTTCGTTAAAAGTACTTATTTGAGGAACCTTAGGCTATCCGATTATTAATTTTTTGAAATAATCAACAGATCAATTGATAAGCAAAAAAATTGTTAGTTGCAGTCCTAGAAGCTATAAGGAGAGATCACCAATCAGAAGGGATGCCTCATTTCTCTATTGCATGGAAATCTACCAAGAGTTTTATAGCACAAACCAGATCTGCTGCCATCAGTTTTCACTGGTAAGAAGGAAAAAATAATTATGATAGTATTTACCCTTGATAGCATCATTTAACAAACAGAATTTGCTAACTTTGGGGGAAATAGTGTAAATTCCTCTGAATCATAATGTGAATCCAGCAGGGAAACCAGCTAACAAGAAACAAAATGCTATTTTCTACCCACTAGAGTAAACTTCTTAATTTCTTTATTCTGTGTAGGTTTTCCAAAGCTAAAGCTTTAGGAAAGCAATGAGAAGAAAAGGTTTGATCATAGAAACATATGTAAACCTTTCCATATCTGGTATAGACACAGATTGATGTGAAATTATTAGGGGCATATATTATCTTTTAGGGAAATAAAGGGTTAAAATCAGTAATATGATTTAAAAAGTCAAGAGAGTAAAGTGAAAATATAACGAGACAAAAGTTATATTATTTAGAATTAAAAGGTAACATGAGACAAACTCATGAAAATAAATCATGATAATAAAGTTGGAACGTCAGGACAAAAAACATCAGCTGTGTCCGAACGTCCGCCCCTAACCCTTAAATCCCTCAATCAGTATATAGAGCGGGGACGATATAGGGGACTTTATAGTAAACTCAGTTAACTGTCTGTTTGGACAGATGATCACTACTTTTTACTCCCCTTTGGTCAGGTGACTCCGCCTCCCCGCACGGCCATCTTTGTTATTTGTCGCCACTGTCGGGTAGCGACAGTCTGGGATATATCAGTTCTTCTAGTGACCATGGATGATCACTACTTTTCACGTTGCATTTTGGGAAGTTTCGGGTCCACTACTTTTTCATCAACTAGATGTTCAGACACTCATCTAAAATGGCGTAACCACTATATAGTGCCCTTTATGGTGATTAGTGCCCTTTATAGTGATTAGTGCGAAGATTTGGACACAGTCATAGAGTCATTTGCAGAACCAGTTCAGGTTCCTGGTGTTATTAGGGCCAGGCTATAGAGGATTTTATTTTAAATCATGAGATAGGTCCTAACATCAGCAGAATAAAGCCAAATCAATACAGTCATAAACTTTTATTAATAAGAAAATTTTTTTTAATATTAGGGAGGGATTTAAACTATATTATGAGATAACAGCAGGTCTGCCACATCCAACATAGCCGTGAAGCCTAAGAACATAAATATGTCCTCGCCTCGACCTTCGGGGTAAAAAATGTTTAGCTGTAAAATAAAAAAGGATGCAGTTCCTCCAAAAATCATGGGAAAAAACAAATAAGAAAACTGAGAAAATGTTTAGTTTTTGCTTGCTATTATATCGGAACACATTTCTCTCCATACACCACCAACAGATTCCTGAAGATTAAAAAAAGAAATGTTTGATGAAAATGTGATTATCTTATAAAGGAATTTCTAATAGTTGAACCTCTGTTTGCTCCAGGCCATTCTGAGTGCTGAGAATCCTGAGGAACCATATTTAGGCGGCATCAACTACCACTGTGTGGCTCCAGGGAAGCGCTTCATGTCTATGGACAATCTGTCTGGTGGAGAAAAAGCCATCGCTGCTCTGGCTTTGCTGTTTGCTATAAATAGGTAACTCCATTTTGACCACAGATTTTACCTTTCAGTGCATTTTCATTGTTGATTTTTATTATTATTATTATCGTGGCGTCTCTGTTAGCTTCCGTCCGGCTCCTTTCTTCATCCTGGATGAGGTGGATGCAGCCCTGGACAACACTAACATTGGCAAGGTGAAAGCAAGCATGACGCTCTCTGTGGGGTTTTATTTGTTGTTACTCTACGGAGTGCATTTTGGTCCAATATTGTTGTAAACAAATAACACACTTTTTAATTAAAAATGTGCAATCCAAAAATAAAACTTTAAAACACTTTTCCGGTTTTTCAGATTTTCCTTTTATAAAATTATTTTCATTTTCTTTACTTTTTCTTATTTAAAATTGTATTCTTTTTAACTATATATATATATATATATATATATATATATATATATATATATATATATATATATATATATATATATATTTCTTTTTTTAGATTAAGCTTTATGAATGTCCTTGTTTTCTAATTTAGTCGTAAAGATCAGGTTCTCTTTACCTCTGGAGGCGGGCTTTCCTCTGCCAGGAGTGAAGACGCATTTCTATTGGTCTGCTGGACATTAGCAGCATTTAATTGGTGAAAAACAAATGTTGTTGTTGTGGTTCGAGTGAAGAGGATCTTTTAAACACGAAAATAATCCAACATTTAAAATTCCATCTGAAAAATAGGTAAAAATACAAAATCTGTTTGAAAAAATAAAATCCAAAAAAGAAAATTAATTTGAAAAAAAAAAAAGCTGAGAAAGCAGAAAAATAACTCAAACCATTTATTGAAAAAAATTTTTTTTTTTTTTATTTCTGGGTTGCTTTTTTTTCCATTGACAAAATGCCCTCCACAGTGTGTCGGTCATTATATCCAAAATCAAAAGGATGTGTTGATTATGTCAGGAGAGCAGGAAACTGGGAAAACAGGGTCATCCTGTAACTTAATCGCTTTACTCTGACACTGTTTGTCCGTTTGTTTATAACGGATTGGCTTTGACTCCTCCAGGTGACCAGCTTCATCAGAGAGGAGTCCAAAGTGAACATGCAGATCATTGTCATTTCCCTGAAGGAGGAATTTTTCTCCAAAGCTGATGCTCTTCTTGGAGTCTGCTCCTATGTGAGGAACTTTCAGAACCCCCTCTGTTACCGGGCAGAACATTTTTAAACTGGTATGAATCCATTTGAACAGATGTTTTCCTTTTCACAGCTTGATCACTGCATGTTTAGTCGCATTTTGACCCTGGACCTGCGTCCCTACCCGCTGGCTGAAGAGGAAAACGACAAAGCAAGAGCTGAGGAGGCCAGAACCGACACAAGGCTGGAGTCTTCTACCCTGAAAAAGACTCCATGAAGTCATCGTTTCTTTGTGTTTTTACCTGAAAATGTTCTGGTTCTTAAAAGTTTTTATGCCTGCAGGTGTTTTGCTAATGGTAGCAACTAGTCTGTTGATAATTTTACTATGAAAAATAGAAGTAACCTGAGTTCTCTAAGTGTTTTTTTTTTCTAGGATAGGTTTCAATGTTTTTATTGACACCTTTGATTGTTAAGGTTTTTATTCATTTTAAGGTCGGGTGGGTTTGTAATTGTTAAATTTTGTCATTTCCTGACAGTAATACAAAAAAGTTTAAAAATTATTCGGTTTTTAAATAGCTTGTTTTCATGTTGGTAATGTTTGCTATATAAAAATACATTAAACAAAATACAGTATTCTTTTGTTTTATTCTCAGCTTGTTACTGTTTTAGATTTTCTATTTCTGAGTCAATGATTGAATACTTTAAAAATATGGACTATAAAGCAGTAAGTTTATCTTTTCATGTTATTTAGCATAATAATAATTAACTCAACTAAATGTAGAAATACCAGGTCATTGTTGAACCTGGTATTTCTAAGAATGGAGTCTTAAAGGAATATTGGGAAATGAAGGAAATAAAAAGGATAATCACAGATTAAGAAAAGCATTATTTATTTATCTACAGAATAAAAAGTAAAAAAATAGAATTAGATGTAAAGTAATGTTGCTACACACTCATGTACAGTAGATGCGGGAAAACACCTTAAAGTTGCTTGCGTTCCGCCATAATAGAAAAGAAGAAGAAGAACTCCGATTTAGTGCATTGATCAAGATGAAACATCCTATCTGGAGCAAATAGCTAGCAAACAGGGTTATGTCCATATTTCACCTCAGGCATTTATAATTTATAGAATTATGATCATTCATTTTTGTATACCATTGTTATGTTAATTAATTATTGAGGTACAATCTCACAAATTGAGAGTTATAAAGACAATATGGGTTTAAACTTGGGATTCGTAAAAGCAGTCCAGCTCCTGTCAACTACATGATGACAGCTCTTCAGCTTTCTCAGAGGGTTTCTACAGAATTCAGAAAGTGAAACGTGATTGGTCGAAAGTAAGCCCAAAACTGGGACGTGATTGGTCCAACAGAAGATTAGGCGTTCACTGATTGGCTGGTTGGAGGACGAGGATAAATGTTTGATCCCTGTGTAAGAACAAAAATGGCACGAATGCACAGGAAAGTAGTGTAGTAGTAAAGTAATTATTCTTATAGGGAATTTAGCTTATTTAGTTTTGGATTTAAAACATGATGTTTATCCGAAGCTGGTCTTGAACCCACGATTCTTGGTTCTGACTGCTTCCTTCCTCCGCCGCTTTGCATAGGACACAAAATTCACAAATTCTTTCATTCTTAGCATTAAATTATTTTAATGCTGTTTAATACAGGTCTACTGTTTTGGACAATTTATACTGAAACCTGCAATTATAACATTCATATAAGGGTAGCTCCAGAAGGTGAAACGTGATTGGTCAAAAGTGAGCCCAAATTAAGCCCAAAAGTGAGACTTGATTGGTCCACCAGAGGATGAGGTGTTCACTGATTGGCTGGTTGGGCTTCCTTTACTCTAGCAGTGCGATGGCTGCCCCGTGATGCCTCCAGGATGTCATGGTGCGGTGCTACTGGCGAAACAGCTCCCATCATCTCCTGCATTTGGGAGCCGGAGCAGATGGTAAGAAATCCGACTGTGGAACAATGTAAGGTTTCTCTGGTTGGTAGCGGTCATCCTCAAAGCGGAAACAAAGCTGTCATGGCCGACGAACTTTGTCAGTTTGTTGTTTATAGTTGCTAACTCTGGTCCCTGCTAGCATCCATGCTAGGCTGTTAGCAGGAGCACAGATGTGGATTTCAGCTCCATGAGGAACATGTTTACTGATAGAATGACATTATGGCCACACTGAGTTTAACTACATTAGCAGTAGTTTATGGAAAGAGTTCAGAGAAGAAAAAAAAAGTTTTATAATTAAATCTCAAATGCTGGTATTTCTGTTAATAAAACACTGGTTTCTTTCTCACTGCACCACTTTTCCTAAAATAGACCCAAACTTTTTTGGTTTGTTTTTCTTGGTTTGTACTAGAGCTGAATATTAATCAGATTAATTGTGATTAATTGATTATTGAAGTAAACATCCACTAATTTAGTAAATAATTAATCAGTAACTGGAGTATAGAGACTCTAAAACATGCATACAGACCAGAAAACAAGCATTCAGAAAGAAAGAAGACAGAAAAATCAGAGGGTGGAGTTAAACAGCACAGAACAGTTACACACAGGCCAAGCAGCTACCAGGCAGTGGAGCTGTTAGAGGAAAAGAAGCAACTGCTGCAACAATAAATTATAAACATGTTATTCACATCCAATGATATGTTGGGACAAGTAGGTTGGTCAAAAATTTTGGTAGGGACATGTTGCTATGGTCCCTATGCAAACTTACGCCCATGTGAAAATGTTTTAGTTTCACCTGATTTAATTTTGTAAAAATCTTAAAGGAACGTTTTATTTTCCAGTTATTCATAAAAAAAAAAATCAGATTAACCAGTTAGCAAACTAATTGATGTTTGCAGCCCTAGTTTGTACATATAATAAAAAAAAAATAAATTAAAAAAAAAAAAAAAAAAAATATATATATATATATATATATATATATAATATATATATATATATATATATATATATATATATATATATATATATATATATATATATATATATATATGGTTAGAACAAATTTATTGTATCACTGACACTGTTGACCTGCTGCAGGTAGGTTAGAAATAATCCCATTATGTGGTTTTAGGGGTATTGTAATGTATTCTAGTGTTAAACCTTTTATAATTAATTTCAGTCTTGCTTGATTTAGAAAAAAAAAATACATTTATGTCCTTTTCAGAAGGCAGAAGAACAGCTCAGGTGAGAGAACAGCTAGAACCAGTTTGTTATCATATAACACTGGATAATAATAATTTGTTCTGGTTTATGTGTGAATGCAGCACAAACAGGAAGAGACAGCAGAGACGGAGGAACAGGCCAGAATGACGAGACAGAGATGGAACAAGAAGCTGGTGAGAAATTGTAGTTCAATATTTTTTATACACAATGTCTTGTTTTCATGTTTCTGGGTCCTGTAACTACAGCATTAAACTTGTTCTGCATCAGACAGCCAGACTCAGGCCAACTTCTTACTGAAATCCTTTAATGTCTAGCTTCACCCCTGCTGCAGCTGCAGAGGCTCCCCTGGCTGGGATTTGAACTCTGGCTTCATTTTCAGGAATGACATTTGTAGAGCAGTGCTCCCCCTGGTGGTGGCTCTACGTGTTATGCTGCGTTCACACTGGACGCAGCAGAAGCAGCAAGTTTACATGCAAAGTCAATGGTTGACGCGCAGCAGGCGCAGCGCGTCGGGAGCGTTTAAGCATCTGATGTGGCGCAACCGTGCTGCTGCTCGACATGGATAATTTTAACTATTCCTGCTCGCCGTAGAAAAGGAAAACTGGAGGATGCGGGCATCGATCCCGCTACCTCTCGCATGCTAAGCGAGCGCTCTACCATCTGAGCTAATCCCCCTGTTGAGCCTGTCAAGGGTCTGGGGTTTTAGACACTTGGGGTGGGGGGGAAGGGCGTTCTCTGGTGTCCTGGGGGTTGGAGACATGCTGACAGTTGAGGAGAGGGAGGGGGCTGGTGTTGGGGGGGTCAACCCGTGTTAAACACCTGTTAAGCTCGTCTGCAAACTTCAGTGTTTGTTGCACATTTTGATGTCGTGATGACATGGGGTACAGCGCATCCCTGTGGGTGCATCTCGCCTTTCATTCGCTGGTTGTCCTCCCGCAGCAGTGTGTCGCAGTGAGCTTGTTGCAGACATGTTTGATTTATGCCCAATGTTGAAGCGTGTTCTGCTAGGGCTGGGCGATAATTCAATAACGATATATATCGATCGATAGACGTGTGGCGCAATAGAAAAAAAGAGGGTCCATAAAAGTTCGATAAAAAAGAAACGCAGTTTTCCTTCCTTCTCATTGTAGCCTAGCATGTAGGTTTATGCTAGTCACTGCTTCCTCCCAACCAATCACAATCACGGACCCAGGCATGCCGTCACCAAGCGCCGCCCTCTCAAACCACAACACAGAGCACATGAAGATGTGCAGCAAGGAGAGGCGGAGGAAATTGTTCCAAAGAAGGGTTTTTGTAGTTCGGCAGTCTGGCAGTATTTCGGTCATGGCAAGTCGGACCAAAAACAAACCACAGTCATCTGTAAAATGTGTCGGGAACCAGTGAAAACGAAGTCTGATAACGCAACCAACTTTTTTTTTTTTTTTATCATCTCAGCCGCTCACAGCCGCAGGAGTATGAGCTGTGTAGGCCCCCGCGCGGCTCTCCTCCGAGGAATCTTCGGAAAATGTATATATATTTTCAGTTCTGGGCAGTTTCCCACGTAGTTCTAACAGTTGAGATAAAAATGCTGAGGGGCCAGAAACTTCAAAGTAATAACTCAGGTTAAAGCAGGAAACGGGGGCGGTGGGGGGGCTTTTATTTATTTGTTATATTTATTTTGGTCACTTTTCTGGTCACTTTAGTTTATTCTTTGTCAGTATTTAATAACATAACTCAGGCCTCTTAAGTTATTTTTCTTTAAAACAATTGTTATGGTTAAAAAAGTTGATTAAATAAAGATTTAATTAGAAGTCTGTGTTTGTGTTTTTTATTAAAATTAAATCATTTAGCAATATTATAAAAAGTCCAGGCAGAGCTGCACATAAAATATGGTTTCAAATCTTTTCAATAATTATCGATATCGATCAATATGCATTTTTTTTTATCGATAAGCTTTTTTTCTATATCGCCCAGCCCTATGTTCTGCGCTGTTATTCCACACCACAATGCAAGAGGGACAATCAGGAACTAGCTGTGGGTCTAGATCAGTGGTCTCCAACCCTGGTCCTCAAGATCTACTTCCCTACAGTTTTTAGATGCATCCCTGCTTCAACACAGCTGAATCAAATGATTGATTACCTTTTCAAGCCATTCATTTAATTAAGCTCTGTTGAAGCAGGGATGCAGGACAGTCTGTAGGACAGTAGATCTTGAATACCAGGGTTGGAGACCATTGGTCTAGATCCTTAGCATCCCCCTGGTGTTGGCTCTACGTGCTACATCTTCTTCACCGTCTTTAACTTCAGAGGCCCTGATGTCCTCTTCCTGACAATTAGAGTTTGCTTACATTTCAGGACAAAATACATCTGGAGGAAACCATATGAAATATAACAAATCACAACATTAAAACGTTTTAGCTGTAATAGTGTAGGAAAATGTAAAAGCTGCGGCAGCTTTCAGAAACCAAAATGTCCTCATCAGTAGGTTTTCATAATTTGATCATTTCAACTTTAAGTATTTTATACATGTAATACACTACTGTATGTTAAGTATTCTAGAGTAATGGTTTATTACAGTTTATCTTTAAAGATGCCCCCAAATCCAAAGAAAAGAGTCAAAGTAATCGTAGAAAAGGAGAACTGGAGGATGCGGGCATCGATCCCGCTACCTCTCGCATGCTAAGCGAGCGCTCTACCATCTGAGCTAATCCCCCTGCTGAGAAATTACCATGGTCGGGGGTTCGATACACTCAGGGTGAGGGGGAGGACAGGTCTTTGTGTCCTGGGGGTGGAGACATGCAAAGAGTTGAGGAGAGGGAGGTGGCTGGTGTAACGGGGGTCAAACCGTGTTAAAAGTTTAGCTCGTCAGCAAACTTGATGTCCCTGCAGCCCTGCTGGTGGTGTTCCTCTGCCCAAAGCTGGAGGTGTTCTTCAGACCCCTCCACTCATCTCTGACATTGTTTTGTGCCAGTTGTTCCTCTGTTTTCCTCTTGTAGTCCTTCTCTGCTGCCCTGATCCTCCATTGGAGCTCTTGCTAGACTCTCCGCTGCTCTTCTCTGTCCACTTAGTTGAAAGGCCTTTTTTTCTGGTTCACGAGGACTTTCAGCTCAGGAGTCACCCAGGGATGGATGTTTGGAAAGCTCTGTAGTCGTCTTGGGGGCACAGTGCTCTCTACACACAGAAGGTCATGTACAGTTATGGCCAAAAGTATTGAGAATGACACAAATATTATATTTTCACATGATCTGCTGTCCTCTGGTTTTCATATGTGTATCCCAGATGTTGTCATCACATACAGAAATGCAATTGCAATCATATTATGAGTAACAAAAGCTTTTAATGACAGAATGATTTAATGCAGCAAGTCAATATTTGCAGTGTTGACCCCTCTTCTTCAGGCTGCTGCAATTCTCCCTGACATGCTCTCAATCAACTTCTGGACCAAACCCTGACTGATAGCAGTCCATTCTTGCACAATTAATGCTTGTATTTTGTCAGAATTCCTAGGTTTTGGTTTGCCCACCCGTCTCTTGATGATTGACCACAAGTTTTCAATGGGATTAAGATCAGGGGAGTTTCCAGGCCATGGACCCAAAATCTCTATGTTTTGTTCCCTGAGCCAGTTCGATATCACCTTTGCTTTATGGCAAGGGGCTCCATCATGCTGGAAAAGGCATTGTTCATCACCAAACTGCTCTTGGACGGTTGGGAGAAGTTGCTCTCAGAGGACATTCTGGTACCATTCTTTATTCATAGCTGTGTTTTTAGGTACGACTGTGAGAGAGCCGACTCCCTTGGCTGAGAAGCAACCCCCTCCATGAATGGTTTCAGGATGCTTTATAGTTGGCATGAGACAAAACTGGTGGTAGCGCTCACCTCGTCTTCTCCGAACAAGTATTTTCCGGATGTCCCAAACAATCGGAAAGGGGATTAAACAGAGAAAATGACTTTACCCCAGTCCTCAGCAGTTCACTCCGTGTACCTTTTGCAGAATATCAGTCTGTCCCTGATGTTTTTCCTGGAGAGAAGTGGCTTCTTTGCCGCCCTCCTTGAGACCAGGCCTTGCTCCAAGAGTCTCCGCCTCACAGTGCGTGCAAATGCACTCACACCTGCCTGCTGCCATTCCTGAGCAAGCTCTGCACTGCTGGTAGACTTTGTAAATATTAACATCTAAGATAGATGAGAATGACCAAGCTAAGATCCTATGGGACTTTAAGATCCAGACTGACAAACAGGTGATGGCTAACCAACCAGACATCGTGTTGATAGACAAACAGCAGAAGAAGGCAGTAGTGATAGATGTGGCAATCCCAAGCAACAGCAACATCAAGAAGAAAGAACACGAGAAGCTTGAAAATTACCAAGGGCTGAAGGAGGAGCTAGAAAAGATGTGGAAAGTAAGAGCAGCAGTGGTGCCAGTGGTAATTGGAGCACTGGGGGCTGTGACCCCCAAACTAGGAGAGTGGCTACAGCAGATTCCAGGTAAAACATCAGAGGTCTCTGTCCAGAAGAGCCCTTTCCGAGGAACAGCTAAGATACTGCGCAGAACCCTCAAACTCCCAGGCCTCTGGTAGAGGACCTGAGCTTGAGGATGACACATACCACCCCACGAGGGGCGAGAAAAAAGTTGTTGTTGCGTGCCAGATATTGTTTAAAGCAGCTCCGGTCCACCCCGCTGCCCTCCAGACTGCCTGCACAAAGCAAAGCCTACAGTTCCTTGGAGATCGTAGAGGGCATGCGCGAGATGATTAAATTCAAAGTAGCAAAACATGCGGAAATTATCCAGGGTTTCCGCGAATCATTAAAAATAAGTACAATTCATTCATTTTTTTGGATTTTTTCATTAATTTCATTAATGTTTATGGGATTTCGGTGTAACAATCAACATAATATAATTTTTTATGTTTATATGTTTTAAAAACAAAGCGGCGCGTGTATGACGTCATCCGCTCGCACCGGCTACCGGCGCTATTAGGTGTCTGTGTCCTGGGGGTCAGAGATATGCTGAGAGTTGAGGAGAGGGGAGTGAAACCGTGTTAAAAAACTGTTAAGTTTGTCTGCAAACTTCAATGTTTGTTGCACATTTTGATGCCATGATGACAGAAACATGGGGCTCAGCGCATCCCTGTGGGTGCATCTCGCCTTTCATTGGCTGGTTGTCCTCCCGCAGCAGTGTGTCGCAGTGAGCTAGTTGC